AACAATTTTTGTGAATATCTACTTTTTTCTAGATGCTTGACCAGTTGCTTTCCCTCTACAAATATCTATCCACTAAATTAGAAAATTGTGTGAGCTGGATCTCTAGTCAAAAATTCTTTGAAGTAATACGAATAAAATTGACAATGCAAATTGATTTTCTGATGCTGCCTACCCAATTCAGGAATAACGAGTCAGGATTTATTGTAGTTCTGGTATATGAAATTAATATTTCATCAACGAGTTTTACGGATAGAATATTTATTATGTTATTGGTGTGTATGTGTAGTTTGTTTTTGGGGGCTTAGGAATTATTGACTGACTATCGAAAAATATAATTATTCAGTATCAGATGAGATACTCACCACTAGAGTGTTTGTTTGGGTTGTGTCCAATATACATGTGACTTGGGAATAATATGTTCATCAAAAAATAACGAACGAGTTATAGAAATGGAATTGTATTGGAAATCTGGCCAGTCAAATAATATATTCAGGGTAACTGATTGTTTACTTTTCGGAAAATGGATATGAGTAATAAATTATGTTGTTTTGAACGAAGGGTAGGCAGGATTATTTTTAAACACATTATTCAGTTCAATTTATCACTACTGTGACTCAAGTATAACAAAACAGCGAAACTTATAAAAACTTACCGTGATTTAAATAACTCCCGTTAGAACTATGTTTCAAATCGGATCAAAACACATACAGGCGCACGCGCGTCTTGTCGAATTTACGTTCAGCTGTTTCTCTAAGCGTGTTGCGTGAAAAACTGATGGTTTCCATAAAGCTCAGCATGCCGTGACTGCAGTTTGAAGTTTGGGATGTTTTATGTGGGTGGAGTGGGGAACGCGATTTGTGACAACAGCTGAAAAAATCCAAACAGAATCAGTATTTTAATATTCAATATCACCAGAGATTAACATGTTTTCAAATAATACAGACCAATCTTTTTTAGATGATTCAGCCCATTATTGCTATAACAGAAATAATAAGAGATAACAGGTTCGATAACTTAGATAAAAGTTATCTATATAGTGGCACAATGAAAATATTTTTCCAGATGAGCACTTTTTGGCAATTTTTGGGATATTCGGAAAACACTGGATTTCTATTGTAGGTTCTACCGCATCCATTTTAAATAATATATGAAAATAAGGCAAAGGAACTTTATGGGCTGTTTCATCACTTTTTTTCAAAACAGACATACAGTTTTTACAATTTCAGTAGGCACTATCATAATGAATTCAGCTATGTGTCACAACATATGTTTTAATACATGTTTCTCTTCAAAATATCATCAAAATATCATCAATCAGGTCATAACATCTCGTCAGAGATGTTTCAAAAAAGTAAAGACCGATAGTCCAATAACTCCAAATATATCATCTGCAGGAAAATGTGAATGACTATGCTTTTTTTCGAGATTTTGTAAAATGGTACGAATGTTGGTCAAAAACCAATTATGACCACAAATTAGGCCATGTATTTCTCGACGTTTCTGTTCCAAAAAACTTTTTAAATTCAATAGGGGTCAAAATTTTCTATTGCTATATCACAGCAAAAAAAATTGTTGTTTATGTATCTACTTGATAAACCAAAGAGAAATGTCGAAAAATGTGATACATATCTGAATATTGTCCTCATAAGCAACTTTTCTCAACTTTTCAACCTTATCATTTCTAAGATAGTACTAGTGGGATCAGCTGAAATGCCAATGAAGAAGTGATTAAAACAGAATCAGTGACTGAGCTATCCACACTACAGAAATGATAGCAGGTGATGATGATAGTTGTGGAATTGGCCGCTGTGGTAGTGCGCCCGACTCACGATCGGAAGACCGTGGGTTCGATTCCCGCCTCGACCAAATATTTTTCTCGAGAGAATTTATCTGGTTGAAGCTGGAATGATTCTGCAACCGTGTTAGGAATCACACGTTAAAAGGTAAGACCTCGTTAGTCCTTAACTCGCACAAGTTTCTCAACTTCTGAGAATTGTCGTTCGTATGGGGGCGACAGCTGATCAACGGAAAAACATATTTTTAATATTGAAAGAATGAATAACCAAAGAGTATATGGTTATACATAACACTGATGAATTTCCTACCTCCATCAGAAGCAACTGCCATTTATTGATAATAACTTTCAGCACAAGAGCTATATCGATCAGAACAGATGAGAGACACTAGAAGAGGAAGATATAAAAAATGTTGGTCGTTTCTTAGTGCGACTATGTACAAACAAGCAGCCTTGTCTGAGAGATCACTTGAACCATGCGTGATAATGTTTTGGAGCTCTCTGTTGCTTAGATGGACAGAGTATAATGTCAGGGCAAATAAACGTGTTGACAAAGACAAGCAAGCGGTAATGCGTGTAATAAAGTAATAGAGGAAATTGATGAAGATATTCGGGAAAAATGCTATCAAATAGGGGCCAAAAATATTAGACCGCACTTTGCCTGGTGAAGAACAACTGAAAATTCCTAATGAGATGTTAACGAATAACCCAATCAAGAAATACATAATGTCAATGGTAGCTGTAGAAGACATATCTCTTGTCATTGAAGGTGAAGTACTTGAAGCATGCAGTGAACTGAAGAAAAGAGGAATTGCACATAATACAGCATACTAACAAGAAATTATGGAAGAGTTAGATAAACTATCGAATAAGCTAACAAAGTTATTGCAAGGCTAATAAAGTTGATGCCAGTGAGTTTTAGAATCCATACTCCTATCGGAGTGGAACTATGGTATTAGGCCATGGAAAACAATTCACACAAATATCTTGCTGAATATTAACAGTACTAGCGAAAATTTCTTTTATACACAACCTTGCGAAGCTCAGATTGGACGATAAATGATTGGGCAATGTATCAACATATCAGAACTTGTTAGAAATATGACAAGAATGAGAGCGATAGAAATGAGGAAACGGCAATGGACGAAAGATTGATGAGGAACATAAAAACTTGGAGAGAACGAAAACAGATCGATTTTGCATATTATCTTACACAACTTCACAGTAGCAGAAAGTGACAGATGTATCTAATGCGAAGAGATAGATATGGTAGAGTATGCCATATTTCACTGTGATGGATGGCATGGCCAGAGAGTAGAAAAAGAGATAATTCGTGAAGTACTTAACATCAGATAATCTCATAGGAGGTATTCTAAATAACAGGGAAAGTTACAATGCACTGAAAACCTTTGGTAAGCATGTAATTCCAATGAAAAGACGGAAAGTAAGAACCACAACAACAGCTATAGAACTATCTCTGGTTGAAAAAAACTATCCATCTAACAAAATAGAAATGTCTTTTTCAACTACATGAAAAATCTGTATAAGAAATCAGGTTCCATCAAGAGAATAGCGGAATCTCTGGAAGAATGTATACTGAGAGAAGAAGTCCGGAATAACACAATAAGTATAAATCGTTCTCAACTCGTTGATGAATATTTTAACATTTCCGCTTCTGTTGATATCATAATCATTGCTATCAATTCTATTTCCAGATACGTACTGATGGGTATATAAAAATACGCAAATATCTTCAATAATATTTTTCTTACCTCCACGGAAAATGTTAATATTATGTTGAATGATTCGACAAAGCGCTTGTGTTCAAAAAATTCTACAATATCGCCTAGAGATATTCAAGTGGAAGAGCATTGTAGGATTTCGTCTTGTCTTTATATGATTAGTCTACATTTTCAAAGTTCTGATTCTATATTCGATTACAACGATGTTTGCTCTACTGCAATACGCATATTCTTCTCTTCTGCAATACGCCATCTTCTTAAAAATCCTTAGTAACATACAAAATATTCTAGTCTACTGAAAGAATATTTAAATTCTGATCTATTGGAAGAGATCAACAGTGCACATAAATCTGCGAATGCTTTTTATTTACCGCATCATTGTCACGAAAATTATGACAAAAATTATATGAGAATAAGTGAGGGCGTATATCTAAATGATACATTATTACTAGTAGGGCCGAAGTTACAAAAAGGCATTCTATATTATTCGGTTGATTTTCCACATACATTATATCGTTTTCACGGCAGATGTTTATTTTTTGGTCTTTCCAGTTCACCTTATCTTGCGAACACAACAATTCTTCAGTTAGCACAAGAAGAACGCGCCAAATTTCCGCTGGCAGCAAAGGTTTTGGAAAATGACATATATGTTGACGACATAGTTACACGATACACATACCTAAATAACATTGAAAAACAAAATACAGAGGTATATATTGGAGACATTAATATTGACATCGCGAAAAAAGAATCAAGCAATTACCTGAATATATTAAACTCGAATGGTTTCATATTGTACATAAATCAACCTACAAGAGTTACAGAAAACACAAAATCTATAATTGATCATATATTTGACCGAATGAAAAACAGTATAAAAAACGAAACCGAAATCGAACCCGTGATATTTCGAACTGACATGACAGACCACTTCACACCTTTCATATATATTCCATTGAACAATAACAAATCTGAAAATACAGAAAATGATGTCAGAATTACCAACGTAAATTGTGAAAAATTGAAAAGTTTTCTTATAAATGAAACATGGGATGATGTTCTCATATCAAATGAATCCCAAACAGCGAATCAACTGTTCATCGACAAGTTAAATTATTACATAACAAATTCAAGTAAAGTAAGAATCATAAATAATAAAAAGTATAAAAAAATCAAACCGTGGATTACCTTAGGTCTCATCACATCTATTAAACGCAGGGATCTTATGAAAAAAAAACTAATTAAAAACCACACCGTCGAAAACGAGAGAAACTACAAAGAATTTCGAAATAAAACAAAAAATGAATTTTATCAGCACAAAATAGAGGAAGCTGGAAAAGACAATAAAAAAATATGGAATGTCATAAATGATATAACTGGTCGCAATAAGAAAAAGAACAATATACAAATAGAAGACACACCATTGAAAAATAAAACTGGAAATATGATAACAAGCAACAAAGAAAAAGCCAACATATTTAATAATTTTTACACCAATCTCGGTATCAATATGTCAGAAAAAATTCCCAAAATGAATTCAGCCAGACACTCCTTAGCAAGAAATGATTCAACCATATATTTAGAACCTGCCACAAAAAATGAAATCATTATTCAGATATCTAAACTGAAAAATAATTGTTCTTCAGGTCCAGACAAACTCTCAGTTAAAACCATAAAATACATTCATGAATTTATCCTATCCCCACTAGTACACATAATTAATCTGTGCTTATCAAGTGGAAAAATTCCACAGAAATGGAAAGAGTCTCTCATCACTCTAATTTTCAAATCAGGTGACCGTCGTGAACCAAGTAATTATAGACCAATATCTGTTATAAACAACTTAGCAAAAATATTTGAACAGGTGGTAAAAAAAAGACTGTTGGATTTTTTTCACAAACATAATGTCATCACTGATAGGCAATATGGTTTTGTGCAGAACTCAAACACTGAGAATGCTGTAGTGGATTTCCTGGAGGAGACAGTCGGGGCCTTGGACAAATCGATGAAATGCGTTGCAGTATTCCTCGACCTTGCCAAGGCCTTCGACACAGTTTCTCACGAAATTTTACTCAATAAGCTGCACCATTACGGTATACGTGGTCTGTCGGCTGACCTTATGACTGATTACCTAACAAGTAGAGTACAACAGGTAAAAGTTGGACAAGAAATAAGTAACGTTTCAAAAGTAAAAATCGGTGCACCACAGGGGACAGTATTAGGACCGATACTATTCCTTGTGTACATGAATGATATTACAAGAATTAATGGATTTATAGGACACTATTTTTGTTATGCAGATGATACAGCTCTGATCTTCACAGGAGAAACTTGGGAGGAAGTAAAAGAAACTACTGAGACTGACTTGCAAAAAATACACGACTGGCTAAACTTAAACAAACTCACCCTGAATATTGAAAAAACAAAATTTCTCACATTTACGCCAACAGTCACTACCCAACCAAAAAATATTCTGAAACAATTACACATCACAAACTGTCATAAGATCGATTGCACATGTTCCATAGTAAAAAAGGTGGAAAAAATCAAATATTTAGGAGTAGTCTTAGATCAATGCACGCGCTGGTCAGATCACATCACAAATGTTAATAACCATTTAAGAGTCTTGATGCACAGTTTTTATATCCTGAGAGACGTACTTACCAGAAGAAATCTCCTTTTACTTTACAATTCCCTAGCTGAATCTGTAATGACCTACTGTATTACAGCATGGGGTGGGGCCTTCAATACTACACTTGATTCTCTACAAAAAACACGAAATATTCTTCTGAGAATTATTCTGAAAAAAAATAAACGCTATTCCACTGACATGCTATACCAAGAATCACAGGTCTTGAATATAAAACTGTTATTTACTCACCAGTGTTTAAAAAGAATGTACATCAGACACGAAACATCTAAGAGAAAACTGGAATAACCAGATCCACTAGTAATTTGAATCTCAGTATACAACTTTTCAGAAAATCTTTAACGCAAAGATCTTTCTTTTTCTTCGGCACTAAATTCTTCAACTGCATTTCGATTGAATTGAAATGTATTCGAAAACTAGAACAATTCAAAAAAGAAACAAAGAAACATATTCTACAATTTTCAAACAAATTTTATAATATAATGAATAATAATTTAAGATGAACCTTACCTTTGAAAACTATCTGTTCTCCTCTGTAACTGACCCTGCTTGAAACGGTTTGGAATCCTCACCATTTGCAACTTATATTATATAATTATTTGTTATTTTTTAAAAAAAGAAAAAAATTCATTGAATCTATCATGTTAATTTTTCTACTAAATTTTTTCTCTACTCACTGCTTAGTTATAATCATAAAATGTACACTTTTTTAGAAAGTCTATAGATCTAGTACATGGCAGAACAGATAAACATATCTAGGCCAAGTTACTGGATCTGAGACTTTTGAAAAACACGATATGTTACATGTAAATATATAAACTGTACTTCAATATATCAATATCAATATTATTCCATTGGAGCAAGCTAATGAAATTTGCTATTGGTCCGTTTTCGAGTTACGTAAATGGTCCTAAAACTGTTCGTATCTCGAGAAAATACCCAAAAGTCATTTATAATCAAAGAGCTTTTCATTCGATAATGAATATGAACCAACGGTTGAAATTTTGGGATTTAAATGACAATCAGCTTCAGATATTTTCCACTATAATATAGTTTCAAATGATCTCGAATGCACATAACGTGCTATATTGTCAGATATAGCTCGTATTTTTGATCTTTTGGAAAGTTCAACTCCGATAACAGTATATGCTAAAATTTTAATGCAACCTCTTTGGGATTTTTTTAAAAAATTTCAGGAATTCATTGGGATAACTCGCCTCCTGAAGAATTATGTAAACATTAGTGTAAATATAAAACAGTCCCTTATTCGATGTGTGAATATCATGGCTCGGTGTTTAGTATTCTATAGTTATCAAAATACAGAAATTCACGCATTTTCAGATGCAAGTGAACGAGCTTACGCATGTGTTTGATATTTCAAAGTTATTTCAGATACCTTTCAGGAAACATATTTTGTTTGTGCTGAGTTTAAAGTAGCACCACTAAAAACAATCTCTATTCCCCGCTTAGAACTTCCTGCGACAGTTTCACTATCGAATTTATTTTCCATGATTTTAAAAAAATACAAGGACAAACTGAAATTCCCAGAAATTTCTGCATACACTGACAGTTTGATTGTTAAACGTTTGATAAAATTCTCACCGCACATTCGTCAGTAACAAGGTAACTTACATTAAGAAAAGAATAGCCTCGTCTCACTAGATTCATATTTCTTTGGAAAATAATGTCATTGACTGTGCAACACGTGGTATTTTCCTTTCGAAAATTATCAACTGCAATGAATGGTTCCATATTCCGTCTTGGTTGCTCAAGATTATTTCTCTAATGCAGAGCTAGTATCTGATAAAGAAAGAAAACTCACACTTACCGCAATCGATTCCGATAACTTTGATTCATCTTTTGCCACAAAATAGGCCTCAGTTTCAGCAATAACCTCTTCATTCGAACGAAAGTTCTAAGTGGTGAGCATTTTTTGGAGGTCTGCGAACAGCCAGCTGGAAGCCAAATCTGGCGAATGTGGCATATACGGGAGCAATTCGAAGTCCATTTCATGTGATTTTGGCATCATTTTCATCGATTCGTGACACTGTGCATTGTCTTGATGAAGCAGCACTTTCTTTTTCTTCACACTTGCACAGAATCATCAAGACGTTCTTGATTTTGGTCAACAGTGAGCTCGCGCGGCACCCACTTTGAAAAGAGCTTTCTCATGGTCAAATGTTCATGCAATATAAAGCCAACACGTTTTTTTGATATCTTTACAATCTCACACTTCACTTTTTGATCATTCAAAACGATTTTGTGTGTTTTTTCTGTTGTTACTGCCTCATTGGAACGTCCACTGCGTTCTGCTTCATCGGTGTCTCTACGACCACGTTTTTCCATTAAGAAGCAGTTTTTGATTCATAGCTTTCAAAATAACAAAACTAGTGTTACTTCAAGCAGAATTATTCACAAAATTAGTTATGTATTACGCTTCAATATGTGTAATTGGTGACTTGTTTACTTTATGGTAATTCACTTAAATGAAATGATTAAAAACACTTTTGTCTAAATACCACTGGAAGTGTGGCGAATGCTCTGCAGTATATACAGGCCAAACCGGTAGAAATTTTGAAATAAGACTGCGTGAATACGTCTGTTTGGACAAAAAATCTGCAATGTACGAACATCTTCAAGAATAAAACCACAAGATAAATGAAGATAACCTCAAAATCCTACATATATGTAATAAAGAGAGAAAAATGAATCTGTTGGAGAACATGGAAATTAACAAATCAATTAAAAATCAGAAACATATACTCCTGAACGAGCAACTTGATTTATGTAGGTCTCCTCTCTTGAATTTATGAGTTCAACAACCCCTAGAATTTTCAGAATGGTATTTCAAGTTGGAATCCTCTCTCTCAAATACCTGTTCTTGCAGCATACCTGAAAATTCCATAAAATCGATGTTTCAAAATTCAGATTTCAGTTTTATACTTGATAATAGGATCAAACCCGAAACAGGTCGTATACATAAAATTTTCCAGTGGTATTTAGACGAAAGTGTTTTTATTCATTTGATTTAAGTATTACGCTTTATTTATAATTGCCGTCTTCCAAATACAAAGAAATCCAGCACATTCACCATTTTTGAATTATATAGGACCATAATATTCATTGTCAAAATAGGACAATCAGTCTCCATTTTGCTGAGGATATTTCTAATTTGAGAAATTTAAACCGAAAAAATTTACAAAAAAATTATATGTTTTTGTCGATGATGATGGGATTTTGAGGTTTGGCGGTCACATTACGAACTCAGGTTTGACTTACGATAGGAAACATCTTATTATTTTTCCAGGAAACTCTCATTAACGGATTTAATTTTCTAATATTTTCATAGGTTATACTCACATCCTGACGTACAAACCTCAACCATTTTTTTAGTTCAACATTTTTTGATAATTTCGTCAAAATGAGATATATCAAGCCTAGTTAAAAAACGTCAAAAATATTGGAAATCATCCCCCAAGTCATATCAACCTCCTATGGGAAATCTGCCTGCTCTCAGGGTTTCACAACTCAAAACATTCTCGTGTGTTGGGTTGGATTACATTGGTCCTCTCTCACATAACCATGGAAATGTTACGAGGTTCCAAGTTATAGGAAAGCTATATTTGTCTGTTTGTGTGTTTCACCACTAAAGGTATGCACTTAGAATTAGCCTCAGATCTGACAGCCTCATTGAAGCGCTCCGCAGATGTATTTCTCGTTGAGGTGCTCTTCACATCATTGTATCAGTTGCTATTTTTAGCTTATAAGAGTTTGTGATGGACTGTTTGGAACCTTTGGTGTAGTAATGAATATTACTAAAGTTTTTCCCAACACCAAACCGTTATTTCAACACCTCGACCCGTGTTTCAATCACCAAGTGATCATCTTCAAGAGGAAGATCTTCCTGGTGATCGAAACACGTGTCGAGGTGTTAAAATAACGGTTAAGTGTAGGGAAAAACTTCAGTGTAACTCATAAGAGCTATGAAAAACAAATTGAATTGTTGCATCTAGAAAGTTATTTCCAAAGCTAGGAGAGGTTCACACAGACGGCCAAAAATTAAAAATTATGCATTTGCCGCTATATTAGGACATTTCACGAAATCACGCCTTCCTCTGAGAAAATGTATGTGACTTACATGAATGGCACCCCGCGCCGTATTGATGATACATGAAATCACTGGACGGTGAGGCACAACCATAGTAAAAATCAACCAGTAAGTCCACTCCCACTACTTTCATTCATAAATTCACAAAGTTCTCGGTAACCTCGAAACGAAGTGCGGAGACAATTTCGTTCTTTTACCATAGGCGTGCGCTCATCTGAAAACGAAATTTAAGGTCATAGAATATTTTGTGGTAAATTACTTATAACCAACTACAAAAACTAAAAACAATAATAACAACAGCGAATAAACTAAACACAATATCAATATCCGACCGTTTATTATAACTAATCCGATGTCCGTGGTACCGTCAAATCCTTCGATACTATAGCACTGAACGCGTTTGGTGAGAATATCATCTCGGGCGGATCACGTGATATGTTGTAATGTTCTACTGTGGCACAACATTAATGCCATGCCGTGCTCAACCTGTTATCAATAACTACCAGGATAACTGACCATTTGTTTATTTATTTTTTTAATATTTTCTTTTTACGAATAGTCTTCTTATTTGTAAATATTTTTCGATTTTATGACAGGATATCTCATCTTCGTTTGGAAAATATTGTTCACTTTTTAGAGAATTTCTAAAAAGATATATTTTTTCCCTTTCAAAGATTTCATTGGTAATTATAATGAAATCTGTGTTTGAGAAATTAACCACTCCGTTGGGTACTGCAGATATTTACATATTTCATAAAAGGATATTTTGCGTTACTAGATTGAATACAATTGTACTTGAAATATGATGATATGGTTCATACAATGGAACTGGCCGATACTTGATGATTCAAGTAATACTTCATTGTGAGATTTTCACTTAACAATACACAAAAACGCGACATGTATTTCACTGTACAATAGGTTCTTCACGAATATTCCGTACTGAACCATCCTGTCACGTGAAGTGTGTTGCAATTTTGTAAACTGTTGAGAGAAAATCTCACAACAAAGAGTTATTTGAGTACGTGCTATGGTTCAGGACAATAATGTTTTTCTTAGCTGGGCGGAAATGAAACGATACTTTCAAAAAAATTCTACAGACTCACCCACTGTCTATTTTCGATTTACTCTATTTTATGGTTTGATGGGAAAAAACCTTCC